AAGTGTCCCCTCTGGAGTTTGGGAGACTGGGAGTTCGATCGCTCGCTATGATGTGCGCTGACCACCAGGGGCTGGCACAGAACATGGCAGGCAACCAGCAGCAGTGTGTGTGTGTGTGGGGGGGGGTGCGGGGCGGGGCGCTGGCGAGCTGGTGGGGTGCTAAGGGAACGAGGGAAGGAGGAGGCAGGGGGGCAGGGAACCTGATTGACCCTGATCGCCGGCCGGGCATAGGGACCCTACATGTGCACAAATTTGGTGCACCGGGCCTCTAGTTCACTTATAAGAAGTTCTGTTGTAACGAAAGAATCATGAGATTTGTCATAAGTGCCACACGCCCTCTGACCCCTCCATCAGTGACCTGGATGTTTTACGGTCTACAGACCACACGTTCAGCAAAATGTTTTGCAGACCTTGCCATAGTTCTCCACACCCTCCCTTACAGCTCCGGGGTCCTCCAAGTAAACCCTGTAAAATACGTCCAGTCTTCTCTGATCTCTGCGATAATTCACTTCCAACCTGGGAACAGTGAAAGGAGGCCCGCAAGGAACAGAATGGAAATCATTACGTTACTTAGCTACAGTTAATGGTATTCATTAAAGATAGACTATTATAGACCCCCAAAGATACATAAGTTCAACAACAGTGATACTCAAGTCCTATGCCAAACGAAGGGATTGTAACTGAGAGAATTTCACTTTCCTGAGGAAGAAGGAGAAGAATGCCCTAACAGTTGTGGGTGCTTTCCGCATGCCAGGCACCGTTTTAAATTATACGAATCATCTCACTTAATAGCCACCATGAGCCTATAAGGTCAGTAAAATAGAATCCCCTCGTTACAGGTAGGGAGACAGGCACAGAGAGGTTAAGCAACTTGATCTGAGGTCACACAGCTGCTAAGTGCCGGGACCGGGATGTGAACAGTGACAGTCTAACCCCAGAGCCTGCGCTCACTGCTTCTCTTCTGTAGAAGAAAAGTTGACTCTAAACAAAATGATTTAAATTGTCATTTTCCCCTGGAGGTCCATAACATTGAGAAGAATGTTCGCTTCTAAACATAGGAAAAGGGGAATGGGAGGAGAGGGCTAG